GGCTAATTAATAGTGGGGAGGGCTACACTGTTCCCACTCAGGACCCAGGCCCGACTGGAGCCCCTCTGGTGAGCTGCCATTTTCACAGGACTCACAGAGGAGGAAAAAGGGTCCACCATGTAATCATTTAAAACAATTTGTAATATCACTGGTTTTAAACTTTCTTTTTTGCAAAGTAGTAAGAGTGAGCAGGAAGGAAAATAAAATACACTGGAATTGTGCAACAAACAGATGATACTTAATAGGGGAAAAAAATAATGTGAGTATTTTACTGGGCATGCCCACTGGACAGCAGTTTAAAAAGACATAGTGAGTACATCTGGCATGACTGGCTTCCTATGTGTGTTTCAGGGAAAGTTACAAGAGAAGTCCTGGATAAGTGCAAGGTCCTCTCTGCAGACACAGGACACCACAACGATACTGTACTGCCCTGGAATGTGTGTTGCTTTCTTTTACAGTGCACACAACAAAACCTCAGACCTGCTCTTTATCAAACATCAGCCCAGATGTATGTAACGCACACACGCACGCTGAAGAACACATGACCCTGGAGAAAAGAAAAAAAACGGTGAGTTCTCCAACCTTACCCATCCACTGTATGTCTCTCCAAGTCATTTGGAGAGACAAAAGAGAATGGGAGACAGGGCTGGGGGGTTAACGCTGTGTTTTCTCTCCATGCTCAACTGCTCTATTGCCCGCTCGCCTCAGGGTCTGCAGACTGTGAGGGCTTTATAAACAAACTAGTCAGGAGAGTAGACTAGGTTAAATCACCACAACACAAATAAATAATTGACCAACTAAAGAGTTGTCCAAAGTCTTCCTAGATGTTTGCCACTGTAATCACTGTTTGTATAATACAATGAGTGAACCAGAGCTACAATTTGGCTCGACAATTTAGAAGTATACTAACAATAAAACAAAGCTGTTACAAATGATGTCTTTGATTGTTAAAACTGGGTGTTTTCATATTTCTGTCTATTATGATTGTTGGCAATGATTAGCGTTTTTCTCACCACCGCTGTTGTAGAGATGTATGATTAGGGCAGTGAAATAAAGCACACATTTTTACAAAACACTTCAGGTTTAAAGAAATAGCCTTATTTTTTTGTCAAATTGAAAATATACTTGTTGACCCTGTAGCTAGCAACATAGCATAGAAAATCCACTAAGCTCGACTGGCTGCTACACTACACAGTTAAAAAGAAATTGTTGTGAGATACTCATATTATTCTTACACCAAGTCCCATTTCGCCAAAGGTTTTGCCCATTTTACACACAGTGAATGAATATATGAATATGAATGAATTTATTCTTCTGCGTTTTATTTGTACATCCATTAATTGTACAAAGGCCTAGCTGCAGAGTAAGACAACAGTTTGCTTCTAACTAATGTGAGAGATGGAGAAAATAATGTGAGAAAAATAACAGTCAGAAAATCAGTTCCCAAAAGCCAATCTGTGTTTGTTTGGTGAGAAATCCTTTGTGCGAGAATATGAAAGGAAAGGAGTGTGTTCACACTGCTCTCCATCCGGCTTGAAGTTGCACAAACTCCTCTCCTTTTCACATGTTGGCTCTATGATTTAACTGGGCAGCTCGCCACTTTGGTTTCCTTTCAAACTTGCCATACAAGGTGTCTCATTTAGACAACAAAGACAGGGAGGCACTCTGACAGTTGGAGGCTTTATCAAAGTTGTCTGATCAGAGCTGTTCCCACTCAGACATTTGTTTACATTTTATTCTGTTTTGAAAACAGAATTTCAAAACGGTTTATGGAAAGCCAACCAAAAGAAACCTGTAAACAAAGGCTGGTATCAAGCTGGATATTTGATTTGAAAAATAAAACATGATAATCAGTATTAATAGTTAAATGTCACTGTATTTGAACCATTCAACTCTGAACTTTTTGGGTATACTTTAAACATGTTTGACTCCTTACATGTGAGCCATTTTGATTGGGTAAAATCCCTCTATGATTGACAGCTGGTGTCCTTCCCGCCTCTGGTACAGCTCATAATAATGGCCTCTGGTCCATCATCAAGGCTGCAAAACAATACAGTGGAGAGGCACTCAGCCAGATCCCAATATGCTGAGCGGGAAGGCCCATTAGCATTCATCAATGGGATAATAGGCCAACGTTAATGTCAGTTGCTTGTATAAAGAATAACTCATAAGGCCTTGGCGTATTGGCTGATAGAGCAAGCTTTTCTCCACGCCACATTTGGCAGCCTAAGTGTGTGAAAGTGTGGAAGGGTGGCGAGCGATTGAACGCGCCAAGTCTCAGATGGAATATTTGATACTAAAGTGAATTTATTGACTGGCTAGATAAACATAAGACAATGCAGGCGTACTTCCAGATATAACTGGAGGGGCGAGCAGCCTTGTGATCAGTGTGTATGCTGAACATCTGCATAGGAAAAGTATCATATCATATTTGACATTTCTTGTTTTTAAAGGTTCATAATAGAAATGAGGTTAAAGTGGATTTACCTAATGAACACAAACCTAAGCCTCACCAACAATAAGTCGGTTTGCATCGACACATATTCAAGTTGTCTAAGGTAAGATAGAAGTGCCTACAAAACCACTCCTTCATCTGCAGTTCTGCATCCCCGCCTTAAATCCCTCACTGGGTTTATAACATCTGGGTTTCAGGAGGTGACGACAGAATCACAGCTTGTATAGTTAACGTCATCCAACTCAAACAACATCTTTGGTATTTTAAGCACAGAAGTCCATGTCGTTCTAGTCTGCCTGGCTTCACATTCTTAATTTATAGCAGGGGGTCGGAAGGCCTGCTTAAATATAAATGGTTAAGTGAAGCACTTTATGAGTGTACGAAATGTGGCCAGGCAGAAAAGCGCCGCTAACCTACATCAGCCATTAAAAGAAGAAGATTTGATGTTAGAAGAAATGCCTAAAAACCAAAGGTAGTGTACAGCATGAAGTTTAGGAAAGAGTTGCAGAGACTTATATACACATGAATATACATATATCAAGTAAAGAACGCATAAGTAGTTTTAATCTATCGTTGAGTGTGTGATCCCTTTTTCTTACTGTTCTTTGTTATTGCTGTTATCTTCACTCATAAAGCGTAACAATAGTACAAGAGTTTATCCCTGATAAACAAACAACTGCTAATTGGTGTGATTTTCTTAAAACCTTAGCGGGTATGTGTGTGTGTGTGACTTTGTGTGTGTGTATACTCATTATCTCCGCCTGCGCTTTAGGAGTGATCACAATTATTTTTTCATTAACCCACGCTGTGCATTTGTATCTTTCAATTCTATTAAGCTTTGCTGCCCGTCCATCAAACAGACAAAGAAGACAAGATATGTAACGGTCATGTGTGGGAGGGGAAGGCAGCGATCAAGCCTGAGATGCAGTGAGTTAAAGGGAAAACAAACTGTGTCACCTCTAATGAGCGGATTTGTGTTGTGTGAATCCTCTTTGTCATACAGCTGTCAGATTAGAAAGGCTAAGGTAGCAGAGAATTAGCCACCGTGTGGATGCTTACGCTCACACTGTGGCATTCCTGCTGTTATTCATTAAATGTTTACATACTGCTGTTCGTGACTCCTGCTGTTAAATAATATTCTCATCTTTGGCCGGGAAACCTTACAGTAATCTTTGAATTCATTTGTGTAAATGCCTGTTTTTGTTACTATACGTCTTTTTTAGGCTGATTAAACCATTTTGACTGCAACTAACAAAGCAATTAAATAAAACTGACATAGATACATCTAAATAGTATGTGGTTTACGACTGCAAGAACCCGTTACCTCTGGAAAAATTGTGATTAATGTACCCATAAAATATAATTTTTTCATTCAAACAGAGGGTTTTATCATCTTATCATCTAAATTAAATGTTTTCAAAATACAACAACTAATGTAGAGTATATCATTATGACATTTAACAATCGAAATTAATGTATTGATCTGATTTTTTTGCGACAAAGTATTACTATCATTTAGCAATATATACGTATACGCAAGATACAAATACTTTAAGAGTATGAAAATATTTCTTCAAAGAAAAGTGGACTCCACATCAATGACACCCAACCTTGGTGAGGTTCCTTTTCAGTTACACTATGAGAAAGACAGACAAACCGCACAAAACCCACAGCATGGTTGGCCAGGCATTCAGGTGAGAACCCTGGAAAGCTAATCCTCTTAACACTCAACTCTTTTTTTATTCACTCAATAACTTGTGCATTTGCTTTACTCTTCTTTTCCGGATCTCATGTTTCTCCCCCTTTGCTATTTCTTATAACCGGTATAAAGGAGGGATATATTAAACACCTCCTACGCAGGTCAGAGTAAGTATGTGTGGTAGACTGACAGACAAACTTGGAGAAAGCCTCTTCACGTCTAGCTCAGCGTGTGTGACACTCTCAAGGTCATCTCTGCTCTCCCAGCAGAGAGCCTCTGTCACTTTTAATAACTTTTAAAAGGGAACATTTATTTCTCTCTCTGACAGTGCGAGGAGTACAGGGACCAGCTGAGAGTGAGACAATTACAAAGTGCCGACAGAGCCAGGCGGTGTGAAGTGAGGAGACAACCCTGCAATGACTAAAAGTGTACTCTGTTACTTTATGATAAGTATAGCATAGAACAAAAGTATGAAGACTGATGTCAATCACTTACTCTGTTTCAAGATGGCTGGGGCAGTGAGGAGTATGGTTGAAATCACTACCATTTTGTATCTGTCACTACTCTAATGCAAATACTATAAACCTATTGCAGCAGTGTATGATTTTGACACAATGCAGCATGTGTTTGTCTGCAGATAAAGTGAGAATAACAGGGGCCAGCCATGCTAAGACATTACATCTAATCCTGCTACTCATGCTGTTTTACAGGATGTTTTATGTTACTGACACTAGCTATATAACTTTTGGATTACCCTAACCCTAACATCCTTATTAGCTAGGGTGTTCTTGTCTTTAAACTTAAAAAAAATCACCCTCTATTTTTGTATGAAGTAAATCTCAATACCTGTTCCTGTCTGTCAAGCCATCTGTCCACCATCGGATGGTTTGCGCTTAGGGAGGATCGAGTCACTTCTCTCTGGAACTGAGTGGGCCAGCCACTCGTGTCACGAGGAAGACTCCGATAGGCATTGCCTCCTCTACCCTATGGAAAAGGAAGAGGTGGAGAGATTTAACATCACATCCTTTCTCCATACTTCTAGGTTTTAAACTGACAGTTTTTTCAGGTTCTGTGCTATCTATAGCAGCTGGATGACAGACGTTTTGTAGTGGATGTCAGTTAGTATATCTTGGACTGGTGCCACACACCAACGCAATGATTTCCTCAAGTCTTACTCTATTCGACCCTCACCCCTAACCCTTCCCCACAGCTAAACCTGAACTGCTACTAAGAGGCCTATTATAATAAGACGGCCAAAGCTGAGCTCTTCAATTACGCAAAAAAGCACGTTCCAACATGCTACTGCCAAGGTAATGTCAAACACCCACAGATTTCAGCAGACTTATTACAACAGCCAAAAGCTAAAAAACTCACAAAAGCACATTAGATTACATTCTAGACATGCTAGCCTTGGCATCCAAATCACGGCAATTGAAGGACCTTGTGGCTATTTGAATAAATATGAAAGCAAATTAATATTAAAAACACAGCGGAGAGAATGACTCACCAGGATACACTAACAGAATAAGAATGATTAAAGGTCTAATGATTTACGAAACAGCAGTTGAGGAGTGAGACAGAAAGAAACAGAAGTTTTGATTTCCTTTAACGAGACATCACACAACAAAAGAACACAGACACAATTTTTAAAAGAAGAACTCCCAAGTGGCATGTTGCAGGATTAGCGGGAGTATGACAGGCAGCTAAAAAGACAAATGAAAACAAGAAGTGTTCAGCGGGTGATAAAATATCAGCAAACAATAATACATAAAAACAAGAGTAAAAGAGAACAGTGGAGATCCCTATCCCCTGAATGCTAAAACAAGCCATGTGTGTTTTAGTGCTGTTGAATGTGGCGTGACGGGGCCTGAGGAAGCACTGCAGACAGGACTGTAAAACTCAGCCGGACACGTGGGCTCCACTGAGACGGCCCCTGATAGCCATCGTGGCTCGAGTCCCCGACATGCAACAGGGCGCGACAAAGGACCCCTTTCCACAAACTTTTACGACACATCAGATCGTAAAATGCGCAGAAACCCAGATACCAGAGAGGTAGCAGTAAATCAACAGGCTAATATCTACTACCTACTCCCTTTATTTGCTGTGCAAAGCGCAGAGAACCGAGAGTATGAGGTATTGAAAAGACATTTGGAGACGTGATGAGTTTACAGTGCTAGCTGATGACTTAGGGCTCCCGTTGGCTTATATTAAGGAGATATAGCAGAACCGAGCCTTACTTGGCCTTAACTGGACTCACAGGGAATTGGTCAAAATAAGGCCGGCTGTAGTGTATAAAGGAAATTACCCCAGACAATGGGTAGACGCTATAGTGTATGGCTTGAATCCATACAGTCTTTTGGCAATGCTAATCACTGATGTATGGTTACCTTTGTGAACAATGTTAGCGCCAAGACATAAATGTATCAACGTCAATGCTGACTAATACTTTCTACATCTGTTGTTGATTGCATAAAAATGACTTTATCTTGAACTGACGGTGAATATAGGACAGTGGGGTGAATGAGAAAGAGTCACTGAGGATTATGAGGATTAAGACTCCCTTTTTTATTGAAAAGAAAATAGCCCAGCCAAAAGCTGAATAAAAATGACAGTCTCCCAGTGCTAGCTTATTACTTTTCAAACAAGCCCTTAGTGACATTAAAATGACTTTAATTGATCTGATTTAGATAAATGATGGGAGATGGGATTTTCGGGACCCCCTTGAAAACGAGATGGTATTGCATGAATACAATATATGGGAGGCCAGAGGTAAATGGGAAATTTAAGTTAAAGGTGGGGTATGTAATTTATTTCAGAAACACTTTTTGTTATATTCCATGGAATGCTCTTAACATCCCGATAGCAATGAATATGAAATGCTTTGACAATAAATACATAAAAAATGTTCATCTGTGGAAGCCGTAGTACTGTAAAAAGCACGACCAATCATTTTAGCCGGCCCGGCTAAAGTAACTGGATGGCCTACCTGCCTGTCAGCCTTCCATCTGTGCACAAACTTATCTCGTTCCCTCATTGGTCATGTGCGCGTTTGTGTGTGTGTTTGAGGAGGGGCTCTGTAAGGAAGTCTGAAGGAAGTGGCAGATTTTGTACTACTTTACTTTCAAATTCTAGCGCAATCGAGCCGGTTTCTCCAAAATTACATACCCCACCTTTAAGCTTTATTTTCAAACTTTATTCATGTTTGGATAACCATCTTTATAATACATTTCTGACATCCCATTCAATCGGAAATCAACCAAACATGAGTATCTTTAAAAAAATGTAAACACACCTATTGAAGCTCTCTTTTGGAGCATTTAAAAAAATATATGTTTTACATCTTATTAGTGTTGTATTGTCATTTCTGATTTTAAAGTGTAAAAATGTGCAATCACTTGTGTATATTCTAATGTTCACCTCAGTTATGTGCATTTTACAACACAAACACTTCGTATCACATAGTAAAAAGAAACCAGCCACGAATATACTGAACACAGGGCAGGGCAGCAGAAGGCCCAAATTGCACAGAAGATTCCGAAAAAGCATTTATCACAACCTATGTGCACATATTTGCTCAGTATAGGCTGGACCAGAAGAAGAAGCGATCCTGACAAAATGAAATTCCACCTCTCCCTGCCCTCTGCTGTGGAGTGTGCCATTACATTGTTGAGGCTCTGACAACTAAAGTGTCTTAAATGGGATTATCAGACAATGCTTCCAGACACACTAATAATGTAAAGGTTTGCCGTGTCACGTTCCAAGCACTCAATCATCTCCCCTTTTTTAACCTTCCTGTTTCAATGGAAAACATATCTATTCCCCGGCAAGACGTAAAGGTCTGTCAGCACTGTGTGCAGGCAGCCATTTTGAGAAGTTAATTAGCTTCCCTTTTCTTTTGGAAGCCGCAGGGAGGATGTACTGTACCTGAGCTATGCTGTTTTCTACAGATGTATAGTCAGAGGCTTAAAAAGGCTCAGAAAGGTGAATTTTGAACAAAGGGAAAGTGTTTAACAATCTTAGCTTGTTTCTTTTGAAGACAAAGAAGGGTGTTATCAGAAGGAACTAGTTTCAGTTAAAGACTATATATGCCACTGCTGGATATCTGCAAGCAGTGAAGATTTCATATCTAACGGTTATTTATTTGATTTAGGGTGCAGAGGAGAGACGGAATAAAAATGAGGGAAGAAAGCAAGTTAAAAACAGAGAGACTGCTGGAGGTGGAAAGATTTAAGAGCACATCTCTCTGGCATTATAATTGATGTGGCCCCAGTATATCTGCAGGACTAGAAAAAAAAGAACTTCTGGGAAATAATTTGTTTAAACTGGTATATAGTACTTTAAAGTGAAATATAGAATTCATGTTCTGTTGAGTTTTAATATACCCATGCCTTATTAACAAGATTTATGTTACCTTTCGTTCCAGACTGCCTGTGCCTGGGCCGGCGGTTACGTTTGGTTTGTGCTTGTGCTTTTGGAAACCAACCGTGGTGGACCATCGTGCTGGGTTCTTTCTGGACGGTTCCTCTGGACCAACCGGGACTTCGCCTGGAACTAGGTCAGCCAGAGAGGGATCACTGCTGCGACGGACATGGAGAGGCATGCCTGTGGAGGGGAGGGTGGAGTACAAGGAAGGTGGAAAGAAAAGGTAAGAGAATGTAAAATATACAGGGCACAGTTAGGATAATAGAGTCACAGCAACACAACCACTTGCTGTTTTATTCACATATTGGGTAAATCACTTTCCACTACAGTGTTCCAACTGTGGCACATGTCTGGGCCCACAGTACTTTCTGGTAACCATAAGACCCCTAAAGTACATCAGCGACTACACTATACTGGATGTCCACTGAGACATGGGAAGTGGTGAATATAAATAGTTGTGTTACCATGTATGGTATATTGAACCCAAATGGAAACATTGTTGGCCTAGACATTAAGTCTGAGAGGTTTGCTTGGCTTGAGTCCTGCAATAGTGATATTAATATACTGCCTTATCATTTTAGCTGAAAAATGACTCAAACAGCTTTATAAAATGTAAATATGAGAGAAAAGTATATGAATAATTATCCAACCCCTTGCTCAGCCTGGCCATAAAAACAATTACAATCGTAATTGGAGCACCATTACTCATATGTCATGATCTGAATCTCAAGATAAGGATCATTTTCACATATTGCACTTCTGAGTGGCAGTGGCTCTGGAAATGTTCCTGGGATTGAAACTAGGTCTCACTACCAAAATGATCCAAGCCATCAAGCATCCAAAAGAAAGTGCTCAGGAAACACTTGCCCAAACTACAACTTCGTAATAAGGTTCTCACATTTAATCAAAGCTGCAAAAACAAGTAGAGGGAATGAAGTTACTCCACACTTCACACTCCTGCTAAAACATTCAGTGAGAAATCCTGTGTCTGTTACACCTAAAGTTTATCTGTGAGCTTGGGTATGAATCATCTGGATTTTCCCAGAAGACCATATGGATTTGTTTATGATGTTCGAACAGCCTGCACTTTACACCCATAATTATGCAAATAGTTGGGTAACCACCTGTCATCCGTCGGCGGATCATGGCAGAGAGCATATGCCGGTGCTAAGCTTCCATCTGATACACCAAAGACATGTCTTAGTAGTGGAAGCGTTGCATTTTAATCATGGCTTACGCTGCGTGCGTATTTAATACTGTGACAAGACGAGGGATATTTGAATGCAATTGAAAGTGTTTCTTACAACTGCCTGCAGGGTACACGGGAATGAAGAGATTATAATTATGTGACTGAATCCCGATAAAAAGGGGAGATCAACATATGTTTGCCACTGCCTTTATACTCCAGACTTCAATATTTTGTAAACAATACTTTTTGGGAGAAATATCTCCACTGACCTATAATTTTTTTTTAAACAGCCAATACATTCTTCTCGGGTGAACAGTCTCTGGAATAGAGTTGGCCACACCACTTGCTGACTTGTTAATAAATACATTTTTCTCTTTAAGATTTGAGGTAGTTTAATTATTGCAGGTCATTAAATTGAAACTGTGTGTTATAATTCCTTATTGTCGCCAGCTGTACTGCTTTGATCGTGTTTCAGGTTCACTTCTAAAACTCCTAGGATGGCTGAGACCATTGGAAAATACTTTTGGGTCACCGTATGTCCAATTCACCACAGCCTCCTCCTCCCACTAGGTGCAGGATGATTGAATATGCAAATGGCTATATGACATCTCAAAACTTCTAGGAACTTTTTAAGTAGTAAAAACTTTATTTCTCATGAAGGAGTCATCGCCACAAGTGAAGTTACAGTACAGGTAGCTTTTCAAACCACACTTTCACAGTAGCTTCACAACCCTGTGTTAGAAGTTTGATCTTCTTTCTACCCAAACCACTCTGCTGACAAAGTCCATGGCAACCAAACTCACCAGCAGCTTGTAATATGTATTGTTTGTCTCTGTTACAAATGTTTTTAATTTGCTTTGGCCGTTGTCTGTAGGTTTCATCAAAAGAGGTTTGGAATTGAGTAAAGAAATCCCAGCAAGCAGCAAGACGGCCAGTCATTGTGCGTTTACTCTTAAATTGGGTTGAAGATTCAATAATAGTTTAATAAACTTTGGCCCCTCTGAGTAACGGCTGGTTCACGTCCAGTTCAGGGCTCTAATGACGTTCTCCACAGACAACGGGGGTAATTAACGTCTAGTATTATCATACTGGACATGACACACACACACAGACACAGACACACACAAACTCTTAACTTATGTAATAGAGCTTTTCTTTGTGTGTTTGTTAAACAGAGAGTTACACTAAAACCTGTAATGGTGTGTTTCCCAGAATACCTCAAGGCTCAGCACTTACTGGACGTCTATATCTGGGTCTTATGAAACCATGACAACATTGATCTTGCATTATGCAATGTGATTTTTTTTACCCATTGTTTGGGACTAACTATTTTATTCTCTAATTTAAAACCATGCTTGAACCAAACACCCACACTATCTGACTGCATGAAATATGCCTATAATATATGATGTAATGTTATATTTAAAAGATAATAGATTATACCTTTAGGTTTTCTAATTTCATCAGATCCTCTCATTGTTCATGTTTTCCATTTTCAATTCCAAAACTGTCACATTGAGATACGCATGAGTGACATGTATAAAAGATTGACTTTGTGTGACCTTCTTTTCACTTTGACTGTATGCGTACACGTTACCTAATCATGTCTGGATATGTTTTAATACCACTGGCATTTTAACATTGACAAGAATAGCTTTTTCCCATTAGTGAGGTCTTATCTTTAATAAAATGCTGATCCATAACAGGCACAAATCCTTACAGATTAACATATGATAAGAGGGCTGTGAAGGAGTATGTGCTTGTTTGTACAGTATGTACTCTGTAAGAAGGTCACTATATGAAGATTCTCTCCTTAATTTGTGATGGGATTATCCCAGCAGTCCGAAGGGTTTGGTTGGTCCCACGTTTAATAACCAGCGCTGCCACTTCAGACCGAGCCGGCAATTGATCCAGGCTGAAGATGGAGTGGGAGAGGGAGAGAGGGGGGGGTGGCTAATAAAACAAGGCCCTAATCCAGGCCCTGTAGTGAGGGATTATGGCCAGGGCGCAGGGTCATAGAGATGTACACACATTACAATTACCACAGGGAGAGGTCAGACTCTCCAGGGGCTATTACCTCGTATTGCTTTGTCCTTTATTTATCTTTCACACTCACCTTGTTTGGAGGAGAAATATATTAGTTTCACAGAATTACCATAGATAAAGGCTCTGCTATATATTGACAGCACTTAAATCAATATCAAAGTCTTTTAATATTAGGAGAATATTAAATTCTAAATGCTGTAAGCTTACTCCAATTAAAGTGGACCTACGGTGTGTGCACAGCTACTGATTTTAACTTCTTAAATTGCCTCCAGCACAGTTTGAATGAATGGGAAGAAATACATGTTTAAAATGTGTAAGGGGACTTGCTTCAATTACAATAGTATGCCCACTTCACTGGCAGAAAGAACTGACATGAGCAATATAACAATATAAAAAAGGAATCAACTTCTTGTTCAGAACCAGGTTTAGAACAGAAAACAGGATTCAATATAAGGAATTCCAGGATGTTTCACTGCTCATCCAGCAGCACTGAGGACCAAACACTAGTGTCGACAACCACTGAGGATGATTTCAATACAGACCTGAAGGAAAATAGTTTCACACTCGTAGTCACAATGCAATAGATTATTTAATCATTTAGCAAGGGTTCGACATGACAGTCTTCTTAAGGGTATTGCACCCGATTCAATTCCATCTCTGCTGCTACTGCACTGAAACTGTACTTTGAAAAATGTTCTTTTGCACAAAAAATACTTGCATTAATGTCAATTCATGTTCTGTGGACTGTGTTTTTAAATATATTATTAACCAGCACTTATTAATACTATTACTTAGTTGTATACCCCGTTTATCTAGGCCCTTTTTGTATCTTGTTATATATGTCACACTGTGGGACTGCGGGAAACGGTATCTCGAGATTTCGGTATAAACACATGTAGACATTTTGACAATAAAGCTGACTTTGACTTTGAAAACCAAGATGTATAGATGTTCCAGATAAGGAATAAAAACAACATTCAAGATATCTTTTGTTTGTACAAATCCAAAGTAAACCTAAATAAAAGCAAACCCATTGGTATGTTTGTCTAATTATGAGTAAAAAGGGTTTGTGTTGTTGCTCACTTTAAATAACGTAAATGTCAAACAAGAGTTTTGTCAGATAGAACATCAGGAAACGCCATCCTGTTCATGCAGCTCACTTTTCAAGATCAGCACTCATACAGCGCTGTTAGCTTAGAGCCCTTTGACATTTTATTTTGTGTTGTTATAGTGTACTTGTAGATCTAGATGCTCAAGAAATGTTTTCCTTTGAGCTCATTTCAAGTGACATGCTTAACCTACATGTTGAACAGCCTGTTGTTAGAAGTAAAGAAGCCATTGGGATGGGTGGTACAACTTTACCAAAGTCCATGGAAAGGTGTTCTGCCTTCTCAAGTCTTTATAGCTGGTTGCCTAAGATTAACTAGACAACAATCATTTCCGTAGTTTAAAGAATGGCGCATGGTGAGAACATGTCAAAAAGCCTAGTCTTCACACAAACATGTCTGTCGTGGGCCATAAACAACATTGACCTGCTGTAGAGTTACATCAACCTCACTTCTCTTTCCCACTTTTCCTTCAAGTGGCTCTAATAAAGCCGCAATATCAACTTCCTGCTCAGTGGTCAAAGAGATGGAGGTCAGCGCTAATGTATTGGCTGTGGAAGTTTCCAATCACGGAAATGAGAGAGGGCCCTAACTATACAGTACCTGGAGAGAAAGAGTGGCTCTTCCCCCTGACTGGCTGCCAACTCAAGGTAATGGAGTTAATGCCTCAGCATACTGATAAGGTCGTAGAAAGGACAGACTGAGGAGGGACTTTGTATCTGTATGTATGCTTGTTCTCTTGTACCTCAAATTACCTCACACAGGGATAGAAACATTGTGAAAACCTTCCTGATCTCTACAAAGGACTCTTTTTTTCTATATCATTTGTATTCAGATCA